CATGATCGAAATGTATGCTACGATGGAAGGCCAGTGGTTAAAAAAAAAAAAAACTCAGTCAGAATAATTACATTTTGTCATATAAAAATGAGGTTGCTACAATACTTGTAGATATTACTGATTTTAAACAAGTGTCATCACTACGAAAGCAATCCAGTCAAATGCGTTTTCGACAACCTCTGGAAGCTGTCAAAAGTGGACAAGCTCAAAACGTTTCAGACCCAGCTTATTATACCTGTATTTAGTAGGGATGCACCGACACCACATTTTTCAGAACGAGTCCAATACGATACTTTCATTTTTGGTACTCGCCGATACCAATACCTGTATTTTCACAGCATTTGTAATTTTTTTTTTGTTTATATTGGGTACAGAAACAAAATAATAATAATAATAATATGAATCATGTTAGTTGGCTTAGATAACAGATATTACCTTCAGTTATTTCCACACTTAATTATACCTGTTAAAATGTATTGTATAAGCTTTTGTTACTTTCACTGTTCATTTTAATGGCGCATTAGAGCTGCTCCATTGCAGCAGCTCAATACTGTAATCACAAAAAGTTTTCCTAAAATAATGCAGGGAGCCACTGGTTATACATTATACGAATGCACGCATACTATTTTGATGATGTAATTTGCATCACGCGCAGTGTACATGGCCCCTCGCATACGAGTAAAAACCGAAGTATACTTTGGCCTTTAAAGCAAGCTAAACATGTGCAGCGTGAACACGTTTGTATTGGTGCAGAATGAGAGAGACACTTACAGCCTAACGCATTTCACACTGCTAGTTTCACTTCTGCTTTAAATAAAGTTGTGTATGCTTGACGTTTAAAATAAATGTTGCTTATAGTGAATGTCCCTATAATTTTAGTTTGTTTTATATTTACGATTTAGTTTTAATCCAAATGCATGCGGTAATGGAGCGAACAGCAATCAAGATCATGCAACATCGCGCTCTCTGACTCTCTCTCTCGCTCTCCTTACCGTCAAATAACTTTAGTAACTTGTGCATTGTTTTACTTACTTGTTTTTGACATATCCGACCAAACTACAAACTTTCCAGTGATGTTGGTGAGATATTCACTGGACAAGCTTGCGCATCTAGCTTGCGCATCTGTGCCGCCACGCGCTCAATCCACTCAAAGCATTCTGCTTATCAGCTCGGGCACATCCGCTATACAGGCGTGAATATTGAATGTTTAACATTATATTAATTACTTACATGTACTTCATAGACATCCTTAACCTCTAATAACGCCATTCTACTCTCTGTTGTTCTGTTTTCAGTGTTTCTTTTTCTGGACACAGCTCTATTCACACGCTGTTTGGTATCGGCTTTTGGTATCGGGGCATTTTTACGAGTACGTGTACTGGAGCGCATCGGTATCGGTGCATCCCTAGTATTTAGCATTGCCCACTTGTGATCGGATCGCATCCTAATACCAGGTGTAAACAAGGGATTTGTTGCATCCAGTAGAGACAACTTCTAGCTGTTGCAGCTGAACACAAAGTGATGGAACAATGGCCACATCTGGTGTGGACACACTAGGTGTGTTCGGCTTACAGGAGCGTTATCCAGACCGATCGGTGTATGAAATCATATCGCAAGAGCTGATGGCTCCATATGCTTTTGAATCGCTTGGCTCATCTGAGATACACCATGCCTCGCCTCGAGTAGGCGGACGCAGTAAGGGAGGAGTGAAATAACTGCAGTCAAGACGGACAGTTCTGACTTCTCAGAGTGGAACAGATACCTACGAGAAAGGTGGATAACGCCTTATTCACACTCATGCGCTGTGTTGCTAATAACCATGATATAATTTAAGTTCTGTTGCTTTAATATGAAAATAAATATGATGAACAAGACACCAAAAGTGCTTGCTATTTAATTCCATTCGAAAGATGTTTTTATCATCCATTTTTACTTTAATATAAACATTTTTTTTAGAAATATGACAACAATCACATATCTCACACAGAGACTGCACTGTTGAAGTGTTTGAGATGAGCTTTTGGAAGTTATGAATCGCGCCACGGCGAGGCTTTATTTGCCGTGAAGCGGACGAAGAAAGTGACGTTGCGAGGTATCTCGATGAACGTTATTTTTCTGGCCATAACCCTCCAGCTCAGGTGAGCCTTCCTTTCTTCCTGTTTCCATACAGATATCGAGAAGGAATGGAAGAGGCCGTTTTTCCTCACGCATCCATCGATTCCAGCATACGAGTTATGCCAACATCGAGACGATGCGCGAAAGCGGCTATGAGAAGATGCCCCTATAGAGAGACGCTGGCCAGCTATCTCTCTATGTGTCCTTGACATCTCGCTCGAATGTCAGGGCATACGCAGCCACAGCAGGTCGGGCTGGCGCTTCATTGCACACAGGAGTCTGGCCCTAACAGGTAAGTTTGGGTATGTAGCCTAGGCCTTTGGCCGTAGGGGATAAAGTCACGGACAGCCGTCTGACGTCCCAGGGGCAACTCACCATGAAAATGGTAAAGTTGGTACTTAGTGCTCGCCATGGTTCTGGCCCGCATTTCCCTCAGCATGGCGGCGTAGGTATACCGTTCCCCATAGCGACCCAGTGTCTCGTTCCCTACTCAGGGAACCATGGTTACATAAGTAACCTGAGACGTTCCCTTTCAAGGGAACGTCGACCTGCGTCCTCTAGGCTTCCTGCCATGCTTCGAACACAAGCTTCAGACGAAGAAGTGAATGACATGTTCTCCCGGCGCCTATTTATACTAATAGTCGCACCGGTAGTGACGTCATGGGCTATCGCCGGCCAACGTGTTGTTGGTGTTTTTCAATGTATGATTCAGACACTGGTCACGACGAGGCGTTCCCCATAGCGACCCCTAGAGGACGCAGTAAGGGAACCATGGTTACATAAGTAACCTGAGATGTTTCCATCCAACGAGTCAAAGAGAACAAAATCATCACTTCCTGATAAACTAGCACTATACATCACTAAGAAAAGTAGGAGAACCTACTGAATTTAATAATTTTCTTATATAATAAATTGTTTGCACCTCAGAACGAGCAGACGATACACAATGAATGCGGTTATTTCTTTCGGAGGTGGATGCTGCTGTTTGGGAACGCAGTCGTTTAACAGTTCTGGGAGGCAATTATACAGAAATACTTTGATGACAGACTTTGCTCGGGCATTTCCGAATGACCATATAACAACATTTCAGATGCTGTGGAACAAGATCGGTCCGCTGGTTAGTCAGGATTTGCCGTCCCATAGCGCAGTCACATTACTTTTTTGATGCGCTTGGAGGAATTTATTCGCAAAATGCATTTCCATCTCCCATTATTCGCATTAACCTTTTTTCGCACAAGTCAAAAACCACCTCAAGCGAGCGTAAAAACTTTTTTGCGAATTAGGGCATTTTTACTCGATATTCAGCGTTTCCATCTCTCGATTCTGATGCGATACTTCAAAATGCGCATAAAAGCTGGGTGATGGAAACCCAGCTAGTGTGACATCAAGCCTTCTTTACACTTTCGCCTGGCTCCACATCGCGAGCCTCCGCTGACTGTGCGTGCACCTCTCCAAATGGATGATGCGTTTATACTTGATGCATTTGTTGTTGTATTATTCTTTGAAACTACAATGGGCCACGAGGAGTAATTGTTCTCTAAAACCATCGAGAATCAAGTGAGTAGTAGTAGTTTGTCAGTACAATCAAAATTTGACATCTCGCATTGTGAATGAGTTTGTAACAGGGAGCAGCGTGACAACGGAGTTGAGGATCCAAATGCAGCTTTATTTAGCTATGCTTTAACTATGCTTTATCAGCATTAATACGGGTAGGATTAAATCACCAGTAGGGTTATCAGAGGCGAGGAAAAAGCAGAGTCAGAGTACAGGCAGAGGTAACCCAGCAAGCAATTTTGCGTTTAAAAGACATCTATTAGCTGTCTAAACACAGCCCAGACGTCTAGGCTAAAACGGCTAAATTTGGGCTGTCAATGAAAATTTAATAGATGTATAATCATAGCCCAAGAATAGACTAGTCATCAATTAGACCACTATTAAACGACTACATATATACCTCTAATAGACAACAAAATGGCAATCCATCCAAACAAATTCAATATACAGCTTTTATTAAGAAAAATACATTTTTAACAACTTGGACAACTTAAGACAATACAAAGTGATAAAAATACAAAAGAATTAATGACAAAATAAAATTGTATAAATACAATACACTTAAATATAAATATTATGATAAAAAATCTGGAATTTTTAAAAACTTAAGATAATAAAAATATACAAATTAAAAAATTAAATATTTTAACTTAAGATATTTAAAAGAAAAAAATCTAATACAAATCAAGAGCATGTTATCACACTTAACATTAAAACATTACGGATAAATTACAACATAAAAAAAGATTAACCCTTTTGTTGGTTTACTTTTAACAAATAAAACAACCAACAGTGAACTTAAAGGAAATTATTAATTACTGGTTTTATTTCTTATTTAAAATGCTTCCCAACTGCATTCCTCAAGTCCAACTCTGTTGCTGCCGGGAAGTTGGTCATCACAGCATCTGCCAAATAAGAAAGAAGAAAAAAAGCACAAGAAAAGCTTGACATAATTTTTTACTTCAATTACACTAATTGTGACAGGGAGTCATTCTCTTTTGCTTGGATGCCTACTAAAAACAAAAACGAGATATATATAGTGTATCACCATTCAGTGTGTTAAAAAAAGAGAGAAGCTCTCTGGCAGAGACCTGCGCGGGACGGATTTTTCAGTCCCACTCCCGCCCGCGCCCGCCCGCTCCCGCAGAAATATATCTTATCTGGTCCCGCTCCCGCCCGTGACATTCATGTTTTGTCCCGCTCCCCCTTGCAAAAGCCCGCATAAAAGTACTCTCTGGTAAATGTTATGTGTTTTATACACATACCTCTCATGACTGAGAACAGTGCACTCTTTTCAAATGCCTCTTTCTGCAGCGGACCACCCCCCTTCATGTTGAATTTGGACATGAGGGAATTTTTTTAAAACCCTAAAATATAATACAGATTGAGGTGGTTAACAATTGCGGACAAAGTTTGACATTTCAAACTGACCAGTAAAGGAATTATTTTTTAAATTTCTGATTTGCGTTGTAACTTATCGAGTATTGACACCACAATGTTTGATTAATGTGGCAAGATTTGTAGGCTTTACCTGTCCAGCATCCTTCTGGCACTGTCTTTGAGGTTTCTTCCTTCAACTCTGCACAACTTTGACACCTGAATAACACATGCCAATGTCAGGCGGGTAGTATTATATGCGTCCGTGTACAAGTGTTTACCAACCTTAAACATTGATGCCCATTGACCTGCAAGTTTTCCATCACTAACCCTTTAAAACTCTTTATTCCAACAGTTTAAGTTTTTCCCTATTAGTGCCCCCCACAACCTGTCTCTGCCTCCAAAATTGTCTGGCACAACTGACTTCATAACAACACAGTGATAGCTGCTGTAACTAAAAAGTAGCCCAGTACACACATTAACCTCAAATTAGGGCTGCACAATAAATTCACCCC